TGTGTGTGTGTGTGTGTGTGTGTGTGTGTGTGTGTGTGTGTGTGTGTTTTAAATAACAGAGCTACTCTTGCATCTGATTTTTTACTGTTTGGAATTTGGGTGCAATGCCTGGAGATGCAACATCAATCTTGCAACCAGAAATACATATATGACATATATCATATAATACCAGATAGTGCTATTTATATACAGTAAGAAGTGAATGGTGCCACTGCCTGATGCTGTGCAACGTGCAGTATATGTGGCCATACTCAGAAGCCCTAAAAAGAAGGATGAAGATGCAGGAAGACAGAAGGGCTCTGGGTATAAGCCCTAGACTGACTTCTTGCTGTGTGAGAAAAAAATACCCCTTGCCTGTTTAAATCATCTTTTCTTGGTTTCTTTTACTTGCAGTTGAGCATAATCCTGACTTACATCCCTCTTCTTCTTTCCTCTACAGGTAGCAGAATATTGGCGTGTAGCGCTACTCAAAACATAGAAAGCAGAAATAAATCAATTCTGCCTGGAGGACCTCCTCCATCTCAACACCCAGTGGTTTTGACAGAATTGATATAGAAATAGAAACTTCAAGGTGAGAACTTTTTATTTAATGCAAAGTAATAAATGATTTAAGAAACTACATTTGTTGCATCTTATGTACGTGTCAGATAGTGGGTTAAGAAGTGCTTTACGTGAATTATACCATTTAATCTTCAAAACTACATTAAGATGCAGGGATTTATATATTTATCCAACCAATATTTATAAATTATTAGAACTGTTCTAGGTACTGTGGATCTAGCCATGAATTACAAGGTACTTTCTATCCATGGAGTTACAGCCTGGTGAGGGAGACCAGCAACATCAAACAAATAAATAAAATAAAAATAGAAGACTGTGAACAAATCTCTGAAGATTATTAAATCATCTGATGTGATAAAGATAGTGACTATTTTAGAGCAGCTCACTGGGGAAGGCCTCTCTGAGGAGGTGCCTTTTAAGGTAAGAAGTCTGAATGACAAGAATAAGACAATCATGTGAAAATCAGGGCATTTCAGGCAGAGGTTATAGCGAGTGCAAAAGGCCTTGAATTGAGAAGATCGTGGTGAGTTGAAGAAACAGCAAAAAGGTCCTGTGTGTTTAGGGATTGAAGATGAAAGGGGATGCAGCTGTAGGTACCGACAGGGGCACAGCCATGAAGGACTGGGTAAACCAAGGTCGGGAGTTTTGTTCCATTCTAAGAGGAGGGCTGTGATTTGTTTTATATTTTACAAAATCAATCTGGCTCTTCTTTAGTGAATAAATAGATTATGGGTGGGGAAAAGAATGAAAGCAAGACAATGAATTAGGAAGCTTTGCAACCATTCAGAAGATGAAAGGACTTGGCTGGGATGGGGTGATAGGAAAGATGAAGGGATGGAGATGAATTTGGACTGTTTTGGAGGTGGAGTTCTCAGAGCTTATTTAGGGATTGGCTTACAGGCGATGAGAAAAAGGAATCAAGGATTGCTGTTAGGGTTTTGACTAAGGAATTATCATCCCCATGCCATAAATGAGGAAGCATATACATGTATGTTTAATATATATATTAATATATATGTTTCATATATATATATGAAACAATTATATATGAAAGAGATTACGAAGTTTGCCAAAGGTCACACAGGTAGCCCATGACATTCATTTATTATGTATTTATTTATTCATTTGACAAATATGTGTCAGGCACAGCAGAAATAGGAGTAATCAAGACAGTCATGGTCCCTCATGGAATTGAAACCAACTCAATAGTCACATAGACCAATAGTCCCCAACGTTTTTGGCACCAGGAACCAATTTCATGGAAGACAATTTTTCCACAAACCGGGGTTGTTGGGGGATGATTTGGGATGATTCAAGCACATTACATTTATTATGCATTTTATTTCTATTATGATTACATTGTAATATATAATGAAATAATTATACAACTCACCACAGTGTAGAATCAGTGGTAACCCTGACCTTGTCTTCCTGCAACTAAACAGTCCCAAATGGGCATGATGGGAGACAGTGACAGATCATCGGGTATTAGATTCTCATAAGGAACAGGCAACCTAGATCCCTCGTATGTGCAGTTCACAATAGGGTTCGTACTCCTATGAGAATTGAATGCTGCTGCTGATCTGGCAGGAGGCAGAGTTCAGGTGGTAATGCCAGCTATGGGGAGCGCCTGTAAATACAGATGAAGCTTTGCTTGCTCACCACTCACCTCCTGCTGTGTGGCCCAGTTCCTAACAGGCTACAGACCATCACCCATCTGTGGCCTGAGGGTTGGGGGAGACCCCTGACATCGACATTTTTTTTCCCCAGTAAACATATAAATTGACCCTTCTAGTCTTAAAGCTTGAAGCTTAGATTTGTTTTATATGAGTTCCTTCCTCAGGAAAGGATCCCTGCTCCCCTGCCCCAGCCTCTCAAAAACTGTCAAAGAGCTGAAACTCACCAGATCATCACATCCAGGCAATGAGAAGCCAGACCACTTATTCATCCTGATTGCTTTCTTACCCCTCCCAAGTTACATTTCTTTCCTACTATGTAAACCCCTAATTTTAGTCAGTCAGGGAGATGGATTTGAGACTGACCTCCCATCTCCTCAGCTGCAGCACCCAATTAAAGCCTTCTTCCTTGGCAATAATCAATGTCTCAGTGGTTGGGTTTCTGTACAGAGAATAACAGGACCTAGACTGAACCCCTGGTGTTTCAGAGGATATTTTACTGCATTGTTAAAGTGATTAGGAGGATTTGAAATTCAAAGTCAGTCATGGTAAGTCAAAGTTCATACTTTGGTTTATGTGATGTCTGATGGAATTTCCTGGTGTTTGAAGGGGGACACCCAAGGATCAGGACTGTACAGACCCTCCAGCCCATCCCACTTAGCCCATCTTGTTCTTTGCTTGAATTTTGTCACTCAGCCTCAAGCACTCCTAGTTTTGTTCTTGTTTTTGTTTTTGTTTTTCCTTTTGAACACTCTTCCCATATGGATTCACTGGTGATTACTGCAGGAGTCTTGGTAAACACTTATTGCATCCCTACAATGTGTCAGGCACTGCACTTGTCACTGGAGAAATAAAAAATGAGTAATAGATCTCCCTGTCTACAAGGAGCCCACCATCTAGTTGGAAAATATAATCATAAACAATTATTTCAGTGCAGTAGAATTAGGGCCATGACAGAGGCACAGGACATTGTTGGGTCACACGGGAAGGTACCTTACATAGACTGGGCAAAAGTTATTAGAAAAGCTCTCTCAGAGGAAGTGACAGAGAAAAAGGAAAAGGAAGTGGATTTTGCCATGCAAAAGAAAAGAAAAAGAATTCTAAGGCAGACAAAGCAATCCAAGTAAAATCACAGAGGCTTGAAACAACATGGCAAGTGCAGGGAACTATGATGTGCTTGGACCATAAAGTGAAAAAGGGGGTGGGAGGAGGTGAGCCTGGAGAAAGAGATCCCAGCCTGGCCCCAAAGGCAAGTCATTTCAAAACCTCTTTGCACTACACTTTTTCTCTCTCCTTTCATTCTTCCAAAATGAAACAAAAATATTTCCCAATGCAGACTGCCAACTGAAATCTGCACCTTAAAAGGCTAGATTGGGCCGGGCGCAGTGGTTCACGCCTGTAATCCCAATACTGGGAGGCCAAGGCAATTGGATCACTTGAGGTCAGGAGTTCGAGACCAGCCTGACCAACATGGTGAAACCCTGTCTCTATTAAAAACACAAAAATTAGCCAGGCATGGTGGCAGGCACCTATAATCCCAGCTACTTGGGAGGCTGAGGCAGGAGAATGGCCTGAACCCGTGAGGCGGAGGTTGCAGTGAGCTGAGATCATACCATTGCACTCCAGCCTGGGCAACAGAGCAAGACTTCATCTCAGAAAATAAATAAAATAAACAAAAGGCTAGGTTGTGTTGGTTTTCTCCCCCCTCTTATTTTCTGGGGACCTGCTACATTCTGATCATGGATCCTCTTTTGTCTGAACAACATCACGTTTTCCTCTGAAATCCTTTCTGTCTGTCTTCCATCCAGTTGTTTCTTTAACTGAAAAAGGAAGCTGCCAGGGGAAACATGTCGGGGTCTTGACAGCATCTGCTGTCTGTGTATATTTCAAAACACATAAAAGAGATCCTGAGTCACTGAGGGGCATCCTCCTGTTTCTTATGTTTTCTGTTTCAAATATTGCCTCCAAAGCTCACCTCTCAGTGCTGAGAGTTTGGGGGCTTCTTCATGGAGTTATAGAGTCATGTTTAGGGAACTCTACTGGGTTAGGCCCTTGAAAACTTTTGCCTTGTAAAGAAAAAAAAATTTAATTATTCTTCTGAGTGCTCTCATCCTTTTTTATCTCCAACACACACTTGCACACACACACATGCACACACACGCACATACACATTCCCAAGTTCTTTTATTTTTTTCCACATAAATGCAAACTCTTGTAGGAATCTCTGAGAACGTGCCCCATTTTAGAGTTTTGGTCTACCAGGGTTTGAGCTGTAAACCTTGGGAAACCTGTCTTCTCCCAGATCCTACTGCAGGAGCAGTTCAGGGAGGACTCCCTATAGTCATTTTATGCTCAAGGTTTATTTTAATGCCTTTATCCCATATTTTAAGAGACTGCTCTGAGAATTTTAAAAATATACCCCTCTTTTCATTACCAAGATGACCTGTAAGAATTTATAAAATGTAACAATAGAGCCCTTTTTTTAAAGCCAGAGAAATGAAAGAAATAAGAGAGAGGGAGAAGGAGAAGGAGAGGGGGAGAGAGAGCTAGAAAGAGAGAGAGAATGAGGGAGGAAGAGAAGAGGAAGATGAGACCAAGAGAAAAGATAAGATGTAAATGTACAGTCAATAAGATGACATGCTAGCATGAAAACAGGATTTTTAATTTGGCTCTGAGCTGTCTGGAATCCTAAGAAAAAAATATGTACTTGCAAATCAGTGGTGTCTTCACAAAGCAAAAGATTACACCCTAAGAACCAGGCTTTCCCTGTTGTTTAAGTCAAATCCCTTTTGACCTAATTCTTAGGGTCCTATAGCTCTGGACTCCTTTGGGCCAGACTTGAACTCTATAGTTTACCCACTAGAAACCTTGGAATTCCTTGTGCATCAGTTCCTGCAGCTGTAAAATGCAAGCATTGAATTAGATCATCCTGGAAGGTCTGTTCCACTCTAATAGTGTAGGATTTTGTAAATAATTTATTTATGATTTAGTTGGTACTTCTGCCTAACATATTCTATAAACCTTCACCCACCTTTTGAAAAACAACAGATCTTTCTAGATTTCATCTCCTTACATGAGTATTAGCCTTTCTACATCGGTACAACCTAGATAATTGGAAAAGGAAGGATGTTAAGAATGCAGGCTCAATGGCTGGACTTGGATCTAATGAATCCTAATATCTGGGGGTGGTACTTGGGGATGTGTAGTCAATAAGCCACCTGGGAAATTCAGATCCACCATTAGTGCATCTGATGTTTCTGCAGGTAACACATTGTATTAGTGTCCTATTGCTGCTGTGAAATATTATCATAAACTCTTTGTCTTAAAACAACACAAGTCTGTCATGTTTACAGGTCTGTATGTGTTTAGAAGTTCCAAATTAGTTTCATGGGGTGAAAATAAAGGTGCCAGCAGGGCCTCCTACTGGAAGAATCCCATTCCTTGCCTTTTCCAACTTCTAGCAGCTACTCACATTCCTTGGCTTATGGTCCTGCATGGCTCCTATCTGTTTCCTCTGTCTCATTCCTCTCACTGACTCTTAATCTAACTCTCCTGCTTCCTTCTTTTAAGGGCCCCTGTGATTACTGTGAGCCCTCTTGGATAATCCAGGATAATCTCCCTGTCTCAAGATTCTTAATTCCATCATGTCTGCAAAGCCACTTTTGCCATGTAGGTAACATATTCATAGGTCTGGGTACTAAGATAAAGACATCCTTTGGATGTTCTTATTCAGCCTGTATCACATACTGCCTTGATTTTGCTGAGGCTGATACAAGGGGCCCCAGAATTTGTTGCTGCAAATTTTCTCTATAAAATCCAATAAACTGACTCTAGGAGATGTCACTGAAGCACTTGCTAAAAATATTCTATATTCCACGAGGTAACCTGCAATCACCTGTATCATTTAGAACCCTCCATTTCATCATGCAATTAATTATTTAATATATATATACTTTCATTATTCACCTGTTAACTCCATAATATGCCAATCACGAGCTGGTTTGCAGCAGTCACATTCCCTTGATCACAGCTGCATGAGGATGTGATTAACTGGAAAACAGGGAGACCAGAGACACGATCAGAAATGACGTCATGCAGCCCATGCCATCGCAGTACAATTGTCAGGTTTGCTGGTGGTTTGGTAAAGCTGGTTCATTTCTATTCCCTTTGCCAGGGATTCCCACGTGTGTTAAAACTGGACCAACAGTGGTGGAGTTCCATTTCCTGGTTCCATTTCCTATGTTCTTCTCTGAAGATAGAATAGTGTCTATTAAGACAAGACGGTTTAGGAGCCAGACTGACCTGAATTACCATTCTGCCTTGGCCACTTCTAGCTGCATTGGGTTTGGCACACTACTTAACCTCTCTGGGCCTCAGTTTTGTAATCTGAAAAATGGGATCTCATAGCTATTAACTAGCAGCAAAGACTGGACCATGAGGCCTCCCTCTCTGGACCCCATGTTTTGCTTGGTGTGAGGTGTAATGGGGTTTTTTATTCTCTAAAATGCCTTAATTTTTGTTTTGGGCCTCAATTCCAACATGCAGAGAAAACAAGGCTTGGGCTATTTAGGGTTTTTATCCTCTCTTTTTTCAAGGGGTTGAGGCTAAGTTCTGGGGCATGTGGACTGACATCATACTGAAGACGTCATTAGCAGTCGGGGCCAGCTCCTCCTGAGAACTGCTCTATTTCATCTGGTCAAAGCCAGGACAACTCCAGGCCTCAGTCACTCTCAGCCTCTCTTGAATGTAGGAAATACTTGGTTGCCCTTTCTCTAGGCTTGAGGAACAGGGAGAGAATGCATTCCCCACTGTGTCAGCGTGCATCTTGCTGGTCACTCAGAACCTTGAGGTTCTTTGCGTATCTACCTCAGAACAATTGGTCAGGGCAACCCCACTTCCATTTTTCCTCTGCTATTCCCTGATGACACAGGAATAGGGAATAGCATGCCCCATCCTAGGGTCTTGCCATTTTTCACCTGTGCTTTTTCTACCACACCATGCTTTGCACCCTCTGGAGCAAACCATATCGGCCTCTCATCCAAGCTGCTCTGGAAGCTTTCTTTCATAGGCGACCAGAGATAAGGGGCTGAGAATGGTGCAAGAAAACCGTCAAGAGTAGAGCTCCTAAAACCAGTGACACCTTTGCTAGAAGACAAGTTATATGTGCGTCCATCCCCGACAAATCACTCCTTGGCAGAAGGAACTCAGAAGGCGGTGGAGGGGTTGTAGACAGGATAAAACACTCATGCTTAATTGCCTTGGGAGGGTCAGAAACAAGTCTCTGTTCAGTTTAGTCAAGCTAATTAGTTAGAAAAGAATGTGCTCAGCATATAAACAAAAACCTTTTTTCTATAAGCAATTAGGAACCACCCTAATCTTACTCATTTAAACACACACCCAATCACAAAGCTGGAAAGACACCAAAGAGTTGGAAAGACACCAGAGTTGGGGCTGAACAACAGCTTTTGCTAAGTTTCAAACCTTCACAATTAAAGACTCATCTTCCTTTCTGAAAAGCTTCTATTCTTGGTGAACCCCTGAGTGTTCATTTCCAATTTGTTTTTGACCAGGCAGCATTATCTGTGTACTTTCTAGAATTTTCATGACATTCTTGCATTTTTTCTCATCACCAAAGTATTTATCATATTTATCATGTCTATATGTTGGGTACATTGAAGGTCTTCTAGCTATTTGGAAAAAGTACTACCCATTTTGTTAACTATAGTCACTGTACTATGCTAGCAAACATTACAACATACTCCTTCCATCAGACCGTATGTTTTACTCATTCACTCTTAAGTTTAGCAGTGATGGTATCAGGCTGTCCTCAACCATGCTGTAGAGGTGCATCCTCTCTGCTTCCACTACAGCCTTTTGTCCTCTCTCCGTCTCACATTCATACGCTGTTTTGTAATTGATGGCTTATGTGTCTCTGTCCAGTAATCAATGTGAGACCAGTCTTATGTCTACCACTGTGTCCTTGGTATCTTGTACCATGCCCAGCGCATAGACGCTACTGGATAAATTATTGTTGAGTGAATGAACAAATGAATGAATGAATGAATGAATGAATACCTTTTCTGGGAGGAAAGGTCAAAGGTGTCAGAGGTCATTGCCAGGGTGATGAGGATCTGCAAATCTGCAAAGCAAATAACACTGAGAATGGAAGCTATCTTCCCCCCAAATTTCTATGAAATTGAGTGTCAAAATTGAAGTGGAAATGAATCACAATATGGTAGGTCTCTCATTGTACACACTTTGATTGAACAATCAGGGCCAATATTTTTTGAACACTTATCACATGCCAACCACTGACACAGCACTCTTTACATGCATTCCTTCCTCTCTCGGGTACTTGGACTGAATGTCTTCCACTGACCCTTCCAGATCCACATCTGTGCTTTTCCATCCCTGCCCTGGTGCTGGAATGCCAACCTGTACAGACTGCATAGTTCCTCTTGCTCTCCAGCTTCTAGATGGATTCAACCACTGGGAGGCATCAGCAGAAGTCAGAGAAGAGGGTAAAATGCAGTCCAGGTGTTTCGTCTGCTGGCTCTTTCCCTGCCAAGTCACCGTGGGTGAGTTAACTGTATCTACTGAAGACCTTAGGGCCTGTCTTGCAGCCTTCTCCATACAGTTGCCTTTTCTGGATGCCAGTAACCCCCTCTTTCTCTTGCCCTTACGGGCTTAGAGACGTATCAGCTGCCTTCTGTTATTACCCCAGGGGTATTCACCATGCCATGTGGGTTTCCTTAAATCCTGTCACCCTTTTCTCATAACAGTTATGTCATTAATAGCGCCGTTTTAAAGAAAGGACACTAAGTCTTAAAGAGATTAAGAGACACTTCAAGGTCAGGTGTGGTGGCTCATGACTGTAATCCTAGCAGTTTGGGAGGCTGAGGCAGGAGGATCACTGGAGCCCAGGAGTTCAAGACCAGCCTGAGCAACATGGCAAGACCCATCTCTACAGAAAAGTAAAAAATTTAGCTGGGCATGATGGCACATGCTTGTAGTCCCAGCTACTCAGAAGGCTGAGGCAGGAGAACCACTTGAACCCAGGAAGTCAAGGCCGCAGTGAGCCCTGTTCATGCCACTGCACTCCAGCCTTGGCAACAGAACAAGATCCTGTCCCTAAAAAAAAAAAAAAAAGAAAAGAAGAAAACAGAGAGAGACGTGTCCAAGGTCGCAGAGTCCGTAGGAGCAGATCCTCCAACCTAGATCCATCTAACTCTACTGCTAATGCTTCCCTTATGCGATATTCAAGGGGAGAGAGTGGCCGGTGCCCCAACGCTGAGATGTAACTCAGAGAAAAACGATCTGGAGCAATGTTTAGTGGGAGCCAAGAGCAGAGTTCTCATTTCAGACCTCCGCTTCCACAGATGGGCACTTAGAGTTTGGCTCTGGGGGATGGTGGTGGTTCACTGAGAGTTCAAACCCCATCACAGACACATGTGGGTGAATAAAGTGGCAGGGTCTTTGCTTCTTCCAAGTGCCTGATACAGGCTTGCAGATGCGTGGGGGTGTGAACAACAGAGCCTCAAGTGGATTTCACTCTTGGATGTAGCCTATAAATATGTATGTTGGGTACCATGAATCATTTAGGGCTGGATTGGTTGCAGTTTCTCATTTTTTAAGGGATGGTTTCATGACTCAGAGATACTGGCATGCACCCCCGAGGCCAGAGTAGAACCAAACACTTTACAGAAATTGGAAGGAAACAAAATATTTGCTGCCTAGCATTACTCTGAGAACTTTTTCTAAGTTTGAAAAGATACAAGGGCGCAGAGAGCAGGTCACAAATAAGCTTCACTCAGGGTGTGGTATTTTGATATGTATTTGACTCGTTTTTGACCACAATCCCTGGCTCCTAACTTCCATAGCCTTTGTTCCAGTCTTTTGTTAGAATGTCGGGCGTGCCAGGCATCAGGAAACAGAAGCTCTCTGACTTTCCCCAGCCCTCCTCTCACTCTAATCCTTCTCCAGTCTTTCTGACTGTGGGTCTTAAGACCAACACTCCCCAGAGAAAGTCCTGCTTTATACCCTGGGAAAAGGAAGACTGAGGTCATGAATCTTCCCTAAAAACATAAGAGAACTGGGTCCAGGGATCTTTTGGATAACTGAACATGCAGAGGTTTCTGAAGGGTGGCCCCCAGGGAGAGCATGGAAGCTCTGTGTCCCTTCTCCCATACCTCATCCTACACGTCTCTTCCTCTGGATCCTTTACAATATCCTTTACAATAAACTGAGTTCTGTGAGATGCTCCGGTAAATTAACAAAAAAACAAACAAATAAACAAACAAAAACAAAAAAAAAAAAAGAGAGAGAAAGAAGGTATAGAGAGGATTATTGCAGATCCCCACTGAGCATTTGCTATGCCTGGCTGTAGAGGAGATTTTTATACGCATTCTACTAAAAAAAAGAATGGTTGGTTCCAGAAAATATTTCTTTCCATTTTATAAGTGGGCAAAATCAAATCAGAAATGATATGGAGTAAAAATGAGTTGGCAGCAAGTCTAAAATTATTTCAAAATACTAAGTTAAACCAAGTTGATAGATGTTAGTCTGCCACCAGGATGCTGACTCTTGGTTGTAAGTGATAGAAACCCAAGGAGGGATTCATGGAAACCTCAGTTTGAAGCTGGTCAGAATTGTTTTTTTGTTTTTGAGACAGGGTTCTGCTCTTATTGCCCAGGCTGGAGTGCAATAGCATGACCTCAGCTCACTGCAACCTCCGTCTCCCAGGTTCAAGTGATTCTCCTGCCTCAGCCTCATGAGTACCTGGGATTACAGGCATGCACCAACTAATTTTGTATTTTTACACCCAGCTAATTTTGTATTTTTAGTAGAGACAGGGTTTCTCTATGTTGGTCAGGCTGGTCATGAACTCCCGACCTCAGGTGATCTGCCCGCCTCGGCCTCCCAAAGTGCTGGGATTACAGGTGTGAACCACCGCACCCAGCCCACTTCTTTCTCTTGAGGTTATTTGCTTCTTGGTTCTGCACCGGGCTAGGCTAAGTAGTTGCCAGCCCATTTTTCAGGTTCCTTTCCTGAATGAATGATTTCCACCTCTTTCTTCATTGCTTCTACAGTCATCCCTTGGTATCTGAGAGGGATTTGTTCCAGGACCCTGGGAGATACCAAAATCTGCAGATGCTCAAGTCGCATATATGAAATGGCATAATATTTGCATATAACCTATACATATCTCTGTGTGTTAGGCCATTCTTGCATTGCTACAAAGAAATACCTGAGACTAGGTAATTTATAAAGAAAAGAGATTTCATTGGCTCACAGTTCTGTAGCGTGTACAGGAAGCATCACATAGGCATCTGCTTCTGGTGAGGCCTCAGGAAGCTTACAATCATGGCAAAAAATGAAGGGGGAGCAAGTGTCTCACACGGCGGGAGCAGGAAGGAGGTGGGGTTGCCACACACTTTTAAATGACTAGATCTTGCAAGAACTCAGACAGAGAGCTCACTTATCACCAAGGGGATGGCACAAGTCATTCATGACAGATCTGTCCCCAAGATCCAAAAAGCTGCCACCAGATCCCACCTCCAACATTTCGGATTACAACTCAACATGAGATTTGGATGGGACATCCAAACTTTATCACTCCATATACTTTAAATAATCTCTAGATTACTTATAATACTAATATAATGTAAATGCTATGTAAATAGTTACTATACTGCATTGTTTTTAAGTTTGCATTATTTTCATTGTTATATTGTTATCTGTTTTTCCCGGATATTTCCTACTGTGGTTGGTTGAATCTGCAACATGTAACCCGTGGATAGAGAGGACTGGCTCCATGTGCATTTAGGCCAAGATAGTTTGGGTTGGGCCAATGCAATTATTTGGGAAAGTGCTGGATGGCAGGGACACTTTGGAATCAGAAAGGAGAATCTCTTTTAAAGCAAGGAATCTCACTCAGTGAGACCAAAGATAACTTTTAACAAGGTCAATACCTGAACTTGACTCACACCCAAAGTAATAAATGCTAGTGCTCATTCAAACCCTTTAATCTGATGTTTCAAGAAGATAATGGACCACCAGGGAGGTTTGTTAGCCAGTGAACTCAGCCTCCACAGTAATCCTTCCCTGCTCTTCCCACCTGAGCCCCTAATGGCTTTACCTCCTGATCATTCTTTCCTCCAAATTAAATATATATGGTAAAGGATATCAAAATTCCTCAAAATTGCAAAAAAAAAGGAATTAGTTATAATTTTATGTCAAAGAATGTGAAATGTCTATTTAAGGACAAAGTTTTAGTTATAAATTTTCAACTGTTATTGCCCCTCTGTCATACTTCAACATAAATGCTGCATTTTTCTCTATCATCTGGGAAGCTTTCATATGAAGGTTTCTTTATTCTCATGACTAATAGCTGATTCTATAAGTACCCTCTTACATATACACTACTGTTGCATATACAATAGTCCATAAGATTATAATACTCTCTTTTTACTGTACTTTTCTATGTTTAGATATGTCTAGATACACAAATACTTACCATTGTTACAGTTGCCTACAGTATTTCATATGGTCACATGCTGTGCAGATTTAGAGACTAGGAGAAATAGGCTGTACCATACAGCCTGAATATGTAGTAGGCTATATCGTCTAAGTTTGCGTACGTAAAAGTTTCAATGTTTGCACAATGATCCAATCACCCAACAATGCATTCCTATTTTTTTTTTTCACTCTTATCACCTAAGCTGGAGTATAATGGCATGATCTCTGCTCACTGCAACCTCCACATCCTGGGTTCAAGCAATTCTCCTGCCTCAGCCTCCTGAAGTAGCTGGGATTACAAGCGCCTGCCACCACATCCAGCTAATTTTTTTGTAGTTTTAGTTTAGGAGGGGTTTTACCATGTTGGCCAGCTTGGACTTGAACTCCTGACCTCAGGTGATCCTCGACCTCCCAAAGTGCTGGGATTACAGGCATGAGCCACCGCACCCAGCCTAACAATGCATTCTTTAGACTGTATCTCTGTTGTTAAGTGATGTATAACTGTATGTGTATATATTTTTTTCTCACTTGGTCCCTGATATGGTTTGGCTGTGTCCCCACCCAAATCTCATCTTGAATTGTAGCTCCCATAATTCCCACATCTTGTGGGAGGGACCCAGTGGGAGACAATTAAATCATGGGTGCAGTTTCCCCCATACTGTTCTTGTGGTAGTGAGTAAGTCTCATGAGATTTGATGATTTTATAAGTGGTTTCCCCTTTCACTGGCTCTCATTCATTCCTTGCCTTCCACCATGATTGTGAGGCCTCCTAAGCCATGCGGAACTGTGAGTGAATTAAATCTCTTTCCTTTATAAATTACCCACTCTCAGGTATGTCTTTATTAGCAGTGTGAGAACAAACAACTACAATCCCCCATGAATGCTATGAGATAGATTCTATTATCTTCATTACACAAATGGGGAAACTGAGGCACAGAGTAGTTAAGTAACATTCCCAAGGTCACAAGGCAGATAAGTGGCAGACCTGGGATTGGACCGAGGAAGTCAGACTCCAGAGCCTATCTCTGTACGCCATTGCCTGTGTTGCCTCTGCAGCGCA